AATAAATTCTATATCCTTATAGTAAGATTACTTATACTTGCATGTCACTAATAATGACATCATCGTTATATTCAAAAAAATTCATAAAATTTTCATGGATAATATAGTTTATAGTAGTCTCTTCATTTTCAATCAAAACAACCATTATTGTTCTCATAATTTTTAAAATATCATTGACATTTCACTCTAATAATATTTTTGTAACTTTTTTATTTGAAATATTTTCTTTATGCTTGCAAAATAAAAAAATAAAAAAATCCCAAAGTCCCAGGGGTCACGTGACCCCCTGGTCCCTCACTCCCTTCGCCACTGTACATGTACATATACACTAACATTCATTTCATAATTCTATATTCAAAACAATATTTCATATATTATTTTATTAAGTGCTTCATTTTTTATTTTTTTTTTCTTTTTGCGCCATAAATTCTCAAACTTGTTTTAAACTTTTTAAAGAAAATATGGAATGTTTTTAAAAATTCCTAAAAAATCTCAACAGTTAATTTTGAAAATTCCCCAATTAAAGGCTCTTGGGCCTAATGGGTTCATAGAGGGTTTTTACCAAACATACTGGGATGAAGTGGGACAATCAGATGGCAGGTGTGTGCTTAATTTTCTAAATTCTGGACACTTAATTCGGTCATTAAATTCAACATTTTTATGTTTAATACCCAAGAAGGAGGTTCCACTCACTGTGAATGATTACCGTCCGATAAGTCTGTGCAATGTGTTGTATAAAATAGGGGTCAAAGTGTTAGCAAATAGGCTTCGAGAAATTCTGCCAAACTTAATCTCCATTAATCAAAGCATGTTTTTAAAGGGGCAGTTGATCTCTGATAATATTTTATTGGCACATGAACTCGTAGAATATATTAAAAAACACAAAAAGGGTCGAAACCGTGTTTGGAATGAAACTAGACATGAACAAAGCCTATGACAGGGTCAGGTGAGAGTTTTTATTAACAATAATGCAAAAAATGGGGTTTTCCTAACATTGGCTTAGGTTGATTGAACAATGTGTCTCTACTATTTCCTTTTCTGTATTAATTAATGGGAGCCAATTTGAATTTTTCCATCCATCAGCAAGTCTTAGGCAGGGGGATCCTTTGTCACCTTATTTGTTTTTATTGGTAATGCAAGCTTTATCGAATAGTTTTGCTCATCTTGAAAATCAAGGAATATGTAAAGGGATAGCTATCTGTAGACAAGCCCCCCTCGTAAATCATTTTCTCTTTGCAGATGACTGTTTCATTTTTCAAACTTTTGAGTTATCCCATGTATGGTGTTTACGATGGTTCTTGAATGCTTTTTGCTCACAGACAGGGCTTCGTATTAATTTTCAAAAATCGAAAATTTTCTCGAGCCTAAATATGTTGGAATCTGACAAACAGAGTCTATAATAAATTTTATGTGTTAAAGTTGGGACTCATTCGGGCATTTATTTAGGAGCCAAGTTGGGTTTTTCGGGCCGATCAAAAGGGGTTATTTTAATTCAATTTTAGAAAAAATAACAACTAAGCTACAAGGGTGGAAATGTAAGATGTTAAACTTTGCAGGTAGAGGGGTTTTGGTTAGACATGTGCTACATTCGATGCCGATGTACTTAATGTTGGTATTCCGAATGCCAAATTATTTTTTGAGCAAAATTTCTAAAATAATCAGAATTTCCTGTGGAATTCCAATGGTGAGCGAGGTATCTCTTGGAAAAAAATGGATGTATTTATGCTTCCCAAAAGATTGGGGTGGATTGGGTTTTAAGGATTTAACGTGTTTCAATCAAGCTCCACTTGCAAAACAGGCATGGAGGTTGATTTCTAATCCAAATGGGTTATTGTCACGGGTATTATTGAGTAAGTACTGTCTTAGACAATCTCTCCTTAATGTTCCTTTGAGTTCTACTGCTTCTCGGGGGTGGCGGAGTATCATATGGGGTAGGGATCTACTGAAGTCGGGTCTTTATTTGGTAGTGGGGAATGGGCAACAAATTAGGCCTTTCGAAGATCAATGGATTCCTTCTACGCTCAACCCCTTGCAAGGAAGGGAGATTACTCGACTTCTTCCGGATATACGAGGTTGAACATTTTATTGACTGGGATCACAGCTGTTGGAGGGAAAATTTGCTACAATTGTTCTTCCCAGTAGACTGTTCTCGAGCTATTATGTCGATTCATATACCCAATTATCCTTGTGAAGACAGACTAGTCTGGAGTCTAGTTAAAAATGGTGTCTATTCTGTAAAATCTGGGTATAAATAGGCCTTGATTCGTACTTATCCTATGTTTTATAGGACTAGTTCTACTCAAGAGGTATGGAAGAAGTTATGGAATATAGGCTTACCTCCAAAATGGACTGTCTTCATTTGGAAATGTCTTCATAGAATTCTTCCTGTACAATGAGAATTAAAAAAACGTGGAGTCCAAGTTAGCACTAGACACACCAGATGTCACAATGATGAGAAGACAATTGAACATGTATTTTTTGAATGTGAGTGGGCACAAAGAGTATGGAGGGGCTCGCCTTTGGGTCTGGATTTTAGAATTGGTGTACCAGTATCTTTTTTTCAATGGTTTATTGGGTTGGATTGAACAAGTCCATGACACTCAAATTGTTATCCAATCGGTTGCCATTCTATGGGCCATATAGCTACAAAGAAATCATGTGGTTTTCCAACACATTGTCCCAAATGTTGACAACACCTTAGAGGAAGCCAGGAAACTCTTTGATATGTCCTCATGTCTTAATAAAACAGACAATGGAACTTGCTCTACTTCTGAAAATAATCAAGGCACTAACACATCTAAATTTTGTATTTTGCAGAATGCTATAGACACTAGCAGTGCATTTGATTCTTGGCATTTTGTCATTGATGGCTCATGGACATCACCAACCGACCACACTGGAATTGCATGGATTTGATTGGACAACCAGCAACAGTTGATTAAAAGGCAGGCTGTGATGAAGCCATCCTTATCGCATGCCTTACTAGTTGAAGCACATGCGTGTTTGGATGCCATCCGATGGGCTATACAATGAGATTTGAAACATATAAATGTGTACACAGACTGTCAGGTACTAGTTCAGATGCTTCAACAGTAACGATGTCAGGAGGATTGACATGTTATTTCTCTTGTTCATGATATTCTAGCTTATGCAAAATGTTTGAATTATGTATGTATTCATAAAGGTGACAGAAATGTATGTATTCATGATGGTTGTTTCGTTCTCAAAACAAAAAAAAAAAAAAGAAAAAAAAAAAGAAAATTCCCCAATAGGTGGGTACCTAGTGAGCTAACAACCCTCTCTAGTTCAAATTTTAAATTGAAGAGAAATTAATAAATTGAGATTTTAATTTCTCCAGAGTTTTTATAAAAAAAACTACCCAGTTTAATTTCTTCATATAAATTATATAAATTATAATCATATAAATTATATAAATTTATTAAAATCATATAAATTAATAAATTCAAATTTTGTAAAATCATATAACTTTTTTTTTTGTAAATCCTAAAAACTATTAGTTGAGATTTTTTGAATATGGAATGAATATTATGTTGTATTATTATTGGGTGCTCTTGAAAAATTAAGAATAACAAAATAAAAAAGGTAAATCATCTCTATCCCTTAACATGAGTCAATATTATTCTATTACAATGTGCATCATGGGATAAAACCACGTGATACCCTCTTAGGTCTGGTCTGGGAACACGTTTTTTTAATAATTTTTAAAATTTTTTTGGACTAAAATGTGATGTAAAAAAAAGTAATATGTTTAGGATGACTTTTAATTTTTTACGAAAAGATGTGCAAAAAAGTAGAGAGAAAAATAAATCTTTGACTTTTTGATATGAGTTGTTGACTTTTTAATTTTTTTAGTTACTTTTTAACTTTTTGACTAAAATAGTCACTTGCCAAACGAGGCCTTACTATCAAATTAAATCCTATTAAGATCTTTTTTTTAAAAAGTATATGGACAAAATATACTTTTTTATTCGTCTAAAATCATAAGTTTCAAAATTACAAATAGGGTTAATATGTGCTTTTTGAATACGAGAACCATGATTTTGGATCAATTAAATGTTGTGAACAAATTCATTTTTCATTCATGGTCCTACGAGAAAGAATTTGTTTGCACCTTAAAGTTTCAAATGATAAAATTATAACACTTCGTAACTTTTAGGGTAAATTATATTGACACTCCCTGATATTTTGGTCTAATTACATCTCACCTCATGACATTTTGAAAATTACATTCTCATTCTCGTAATTAATAGTTTCATTTTACAAACTTTCTGTTTATATAAAAGACAACAACTCTTAGTAGAAAAATAGAAGAAATTATATTGAAAAAAAAGATAAAGTAAAAGAAAGGAAAAAAAACAGAGGAAGTAAAGCAAAACAAGAAAAAAGAGAGTACACGGGTTCAATATTTTCATTCCATTTAAATAATTACAATGATAAGGGATTAGTATAATTTCTCAAATGTTAAATGGTGATATGTATTGAATTTAATTCTCAGAAAGTGTAAGTATAATTTATCTTAATTTTTATTATGACATTTAGTGATAAAAAAAAGTTATAACATTTTACAAAAAAATTATAAATAAAATACCATAGAGATCACTTGACTTCTCTCTAAGAGGCCATTGGATTTTGAATAGATTTTTATAAGTGGTGGTGATGGTGTGGTGGAGGTGATGGTGTGATTGTTGTTAAAAAATGATTGTGAGAGATTTATGTAAAGAATTGTTTGTTAGAGCCGGCGATTGATTGCCGTAGACTACCGGCAACCTTCGGATGTCCGCCAGTGGTGGTGATGTAAGTCTGAGATGTTGCGAAGGAGACTAGTAAAATTAGAAATATTTTTACCATATTTTAACTGTATTTATTTTTAATGAATAAAAACTTTTCAATTTATCATTTTTTTTGAAAGAAAAATTAAGATCGAGACCTTCCACCAAAAATTCCATAAATCTACAACAATTAATTTCAAATCAAATAATATAATTATAGAGCCAAAATTGCGGAACTACCGTTTTCGATGTTTCGGACACCAAAATTGCGGAACTACCGTTTTCGATGGTTCGGACATAGAATAATATGACGGTCCCAGCCAAGTCAAGTCAACGATCAATTCAGACCCCCCCTCTCTCTTGAGAGAGAGAGCAGAGCCAAAACAGAGGAGGACGAGGAGGGTGTTTTGTTTTGAAAGAGAGAGAGAGTGATGATGATGAAATCAGAGACGTTGACTTTGATACTGGTGAATCTGGCTGGGATCATGGAGAGAGCCGACGAGTCTCTGCTTCCTGGAGTTTACAAGGAGGTCGGCGCGGCTCTCCACACCGACCCAACTGGCCTCGGCTCACTCACTCTCATCAGATCCATAGTACAGTCGGCTTGCTACCCACTCGCCGCCTACCTCGCTGTCCGTCACAACCGTACCCACGTCATTGCCCTTGGCGCTTTCCTCTGGGCCGCCGCCACTTTTCTCGTCGCCATCTCCTCCACTTTCTTGGAGGTCCCTCTCTCTCTCTCTCTCTCTCTCTCTCTCTCCATCGTTGTAGTTCTAGCATAAACACACACACACACACACACACACACATTACATATGTATTGGCAAATAAGTTTGATTTAATGTACGAATTACCATGTACTTTTTGTTGTTGTAGGGTCACAAAATGTGGTTGTGGGCAAGTAAAATTGAGTTTCTTAGACAATCTTCAATCGTTAGTTATTTTTTCATCAAATTGAAAGTCATTAAATTTAAATTTGGTAAAAAAATTAAAATGATAAAACATTAGGCAATCTTCAATCTTTCACCTTTTCTTTTATTAAATTTAAATTTGATAAAAAAAATATTCAAAAATTATCTGCAATCATTTCATTAAATTAAGGGAGTTGTTATTATTTTTTTTTATCAAATTGAAAACTCAGATAAAGTATTGGAAATGATTTTTTTCATCAAATTTGATAAAAAGAGAAATTTGGGATAAGAGAGAAATTTTTATAAAGATTTTGATTAAAATTTGATGAAAAAGTTGGAGTAAATCGTATTAAGTTAAGCTTTTTATTCAAAGTTAAAATCATATTAGATGGCAAAAAAAATAAAAATAAATAAAAACAGTGAAAGATTTGATATGAACTACTCTAATTTTAATTAAATTTTCAAATTTCCTCTTATTCCTAATTTCCTTTTTCATCAAATTTAATGAAAAAATATGCTTTTAAAATTTCATCAAATTTTGATGAATGATTTGCTGATTATCAATTTCATGAAAAAAAATGCTTCTTCCTTGATTTGATAAACATTTGATGAAATGATTGAAAACGGTTTTTAAGAACTTTTTTTATCAAATTTAAATTTGATGGGAAAAAGAAAAGAGAGCAAGAATTAGAGATGCTCTCTGAGTGAAAATGAATAAAAAGCTTGATAGGATATGCAACACTCCAATCCGTACTCTCTTTTTTAGTCAGTTCTTTTTTGGAAAATTCTAAATTATCCTAAAAATCAGTTTTAACCATTTTTTTATGAAACAAAACTATCTCCAATCCTAATCCGTTTTGGATTGAGAGGTTTGGTGAAAAAGGAAAAGAAATAGACACAATGAAGTTTCTCATCATCTGTTTGGATAATTAATGAAGTGAGTAATGGTGAGAAAGCCAAATCACGCCAAACTTAAGTTTTGTTTTTCACCAAAAGTGGTGAGATTTGGTGGAAAACCAAAATTACTCTTTTAATCATAATCCATCCAAACAAGAATGTGAAAAATCACAATAATTCCTTTTCTTTTCTCACTTAGGTGAGAAACTCTAATAATTTCTTCTCTTTTCTCATCTCTCAATCCAAATAGAGTGACCTTTTTTGAAATTTCACCAAATTTGAGTAGAAAAATTGTTGTTGAAAATTTGGTGAAGGATTTGGTTCATCTTTGATTAGGTGAAACAATTGCTTCTCCCTTAATTTGATACAAATTTGATAAAGATATTGATGAAGGATTGGAGATGCTTGGACATGTAGTTTTATTGCGACCTATTGAGTTGGATTAGTTTGGAGAAGTGGGAATATGGGTTATTGGTGGATTTTAATATGGTTTTTGGTCTTTCAAAGATGTAGATGCAATTCAAACCAAACAAATAAACAAGTGGTGCAATTCAAACGAGGAGAATAGTAGCAATAGAATGTTTTGGACATGTTAAAATAGAGTAGTTGAGTTGGTTTCCATGATGTAGCTAGTATTGTTGAATTAGTAAAAATTAGGCCGCATTGTTTTAACTTTTGAATCTACATAAAAATGGGATGATGTGGTTAGCCTGCCACTTGTATGCAAGAATCCTATTGTAAATATTTTCAGACAATATCAGGAAAAAATTTGATGGATTGTATGTATAAAGGTAAGCATTTCTTGCTTTATGTGCTGAAATTTTAAAATAAATTTTCTGAAAAGAAACTGACCCATTTTAAGCCATAGAGAAACGAAATTGGTTTGTATTGGATTCTTAGTTAAATTGTGCTTGGTTAGGTGATTTGTTTGGGTTAAGAGTCGAGTTATTGTGTGTTAAATTATTTTGGAACAAAAAGGAAAGGAACTACATTTTCATTTGGTTTAATGACCCGTGTTGTCGAACCATGCATTATTTATGCAACATCAATGGCGAGATTCGTAGGTGTAATGGCGATGCATGTGCATATTGTTGTATTAGCTTAATAATAAGGCAAGAGTACATATGGCTTCTTGGATTTGTCAACTACAATTTCAGTCTTGATGACTCAAACATAATCAGATCATGAGATACACATCTCAACTTGACAAAGCCACGATGCAACAAATATTCATAAAATCCTTTGCATAAGAAGACCAAAATTTCATAAATTTAGTGCCACAGGTCTTAATTGAAAAACTCATTTCTGGGTTGACATTCCATATATTTTCAGGTAATGTAAAATAATGCTGGGGGAGTGTTGAGATTTTTTATTTGCAACCCTTGAATTTCGTTAAGACGTTGTACTGTTTTCCTTCGCACAATATATTGCATCATCTAGTGCTTAGTTGTCTTAATTGACTATTCAGGTGGCAGTTTCAAGAGGTTTGAATGGAATAGGACTTGCCATAGTCACACCAGCCATTTTGTCCCTTGTTGCTGACTCAACTGATGAGACCAATCGTGGTATGGCTTTTGGATGGTTACAATTAACAGGAAACATTGGCTCAATCATTGGTGGGCTTAGTGCAGTGCTGATAGCCTCAACATCATTCATGGGTATCCCTGGTTGGAGAATAGCCTTCCATCTTGTTGGGCTAATTAGTGTTATAGTCGGTATGTTGGTCCGCCTCTTTGCCAATGATCCCCACTTTTCTGATAGTAATGCTGAAGCTCAAATTCCACAAAAACCCTTCTGGTCCGAACTGAAGGAACTGCTCAAGGAAGCAATGTCAGTAATAAAAATACCATCTTTCCAAATAATTGTGGCCCAAGGTGTTGCTGGATCATTTCCTTGGTCAGCTATGTCATTTGCCCCTATGTGGTTAGAGCTTATTGGCTTCTCCCACAAGACAGTGGCATTACTCTGGACTCTTTTTGTCATTGCTGGTTCACTTGGTGGTCTATTTGGCGGAAGGATGGGGGACATCCTTGCTCAACGCTTTCCAAATTCTGGTAGAATAATTCTTTCACAGATAAGTTCCGGTTCAGCTATCCCTTTAGCTGCAATACTGCTGTTAGCATTGCCTGATGATCCTTCCACAGCCTTCCTGCATGGTTTTATCTTGGTCATCATGGGATTAATCATAACCTGGAATGCTCCAGCTACAAATAAGTATGTCTCTTCAAACTCAATTATAGTTTTTGCTCATGTATGTTGGCTAACAGAATTGGAGATATGGGCTTTTTTTAAATCTCTAATATTGCACAATGACACTTAATTGGCATGACCAACAATTTTAACTTACACCTCAAGGGAACCTTGAATATATATGGTACTTGCTAACACGAATGATTATAAAAGATCACTAAAATTTGGAGAGAACTAGGTCTCTCTCTTCGATATGTTTCTTTCGCCCAAATTAAATAAATAAATAAATATGTGAGGAGTTTGGAAAGAAGGGAAGTACCCATGGGGTTTTTGGTGTGTTGCTTCTTTCATAACATGTGCTCAAAGTTGCCAGGTAAAGGAAGGAGCAGATGAGAGCATATGGGAGGTTTTCGTCATATTTTATAGATCGAGCAGAAAACTTTAGACTTGGAAGCCTTAAATAGGGAGAGTTACTCTGAGTTAGTGATGAGAAGGGATGGAAGGCGGAGAAACACTTGCATTCAGAAAGGCAGAGGATCAGTTGGGTGGGGTGATACTACAAAGGTGTTTCGGGATTTCATGTCAAATTAAGGGAAGATGTTGTTGCAGAGGTCGAGGTCATTTTTGGAGGCCACTGGCCCAGGACCGGCCCTGAGGGCAGGCAAGAGAGGCCTGTGCCTTGGGCTCCCAAATTTGGGTTGAAAATGACGGCCCCCAAATATAATTTTATGTTTTAGATATAATAAAAAAAAAAAAGAGGCCCAAATACTATAAGCCCAATTGAACATGGGGCTCAAAAGAAAGCAACAAGACTAGATTTTTATTTTTTTTAAAAGTATTTGTAATGATTGCTTCCTATCTTAATATATGAAAGTAAATTTTTATTTATAATTTTAATGATTATATGTGCAAGTAAATTTTTTTGTAGATATAAACAAATAAAAAAATTATAATTTATCGTTTTATTCATAATTTTTTTTTCAATGTAAGAGGGCCCCATTTTCGAAGTGTAGCCTTGGGCCCTAAATCTCACGGCCGGTCCTGGAGAAAGCTGAGACTGTGTCTTGAGATGGGTTCATGCACGAGAGAGAAAGCTTGGTGATCATGAAGGACATGTCTTGTTTGTTTACATTTGAAATCAAAAACTGAAGCGAGAGAGAGAGAGCTCCCGTGCCTTGAGATGGTGAAAAACCATTCTTTTTATCCATCTCCCAGCCAAGCCCCCAGAGAGAGAGTGATAGTGCAGCCCCTCTTTTCTTTCACCTTTTTTTTCTTTTTGTTTTATCACCCCACTCAGCACCCCATGATCTCCACCGAATTGATAAAGAGTAGTATTTTTTTATTTTTTATTTTTTATTTTTTGTGTTCTGTGTAGCTCTCTCAAAATAAAGTATCCTCTTAATTTCACTCTCAACTTTTTCTTTTTTTATTTGTTTTACACATGTGTGTCTCCCATTTCATCGTAACATAATCCACTCCCTCTTTTTTTATATTCCTTCACCAGCCCAATCGTAATAATTTGTATCCACCCCCTATCATTCCGACTCTTTCCTTTTTCTTTTTCTTTTTTCTATGTTTTTGTTTGATTATTTTCTTTTTTTTTATCAATTATTTATCAATTTATATAAAACACACCTAAAACAAATGTACACACATAAATTTATATAAAAATATATAAAATTATAAAATGCTACAAATTAATAAAATATTAGTGATGGTCAAAATAGGTGAGGTTTGGGATTAAAACTTCAATCTGAGTTTCGGTAACGAAATTCATAAAATGACATATTCCAATTTTCATCATGGGGTGGTCAAAAGAAAACATCAAAGTCTTAGGGCCGGCCAAAATGGGGTGTCTACACATGGTGTGTAATATTTGATTTCTTTTCTGAGTGCACTTCAAAATAGTGGGATTCTTTTGTTGCTATGACCTGTTGAGTTAGTTGTGTGGAGTAAGCAAATTTTGTGGGTGTGTTTGAACATGTTCAAGTGAGATTGCAAGTACGGTTGTATTCCAATTGCGAGTTCGATAGATTTTGATTAACCCCTTATCTGTTGCAAGAATCACCTACATTTTCCATTATATTATAAATTGTTTGTCCAAATTCTAGTACGAGTGGTTTTAAGTTGAGGGGTGGCTTCTTTGAAACAATGTATCTTAATATCACAAATAGCTGGTAGGTGTAGAAATTTTGTTGATGCATTAGTAAGTACCTGAGTGAGTTTGTGGGTGACTGTAGAATGCATTACATTGCTTGAGTTTAATTTCGAGGACAAAATTTCTTTAAGAAGGGTAGGTTGTAATGACAAATAGCTAGCGCAAAATTTAATTGAGCAAATTTTCGAATCTGATTGCTGTGTAAATTCTGTGTGAAAACACATCGGTTTTGTATTTTTTAAAAATAGTTTCCGATCTCAGAAAATTATGAAATTTTTATATGTTGTTCCCATATGAGTCTAGCACGTTGGATAACCATTTCAGAATTTAATGATGAGTATTTATCTTAAGAAAAATCACAGAATGATTGGTGTTTAGTTTAATTTATAGCAGAATTTAAATTGAGTTTTAGGTGTTCGGACCATGATTGAGATAAATCAGTTGGGGATTTATTAGAAATTATTAAACTCCATTCATTTTGGACCCAATTGATTGAATTGTAGCCTGTTAGTAACCATGTAGTAGCGTTGTGGTTTTAGTCTTGTCATGGTTCATATGTTGTATAGTATATCTCTACTGCGTTATGGCTCACCTTATAAGGGAAACCATTTTAGGTACAGGTGATATGCCTCTGCCAAGGCACTGACTTGGGAGGACTCGGAGCCGTATAACTCTCTCGCATCTTTCTCTTCCATATATGTATAACTCTCCCGCGTCTCTCTCTTCCGTCAAAAAACGCGTTGGACACGCGGCCTTGCTTTTGCGTTACTGGCCAACAAAAGCTAACCCTCGATTAACACTCGCCTCGGCTCTCTCTTCCTCTTTATCTTCTTCTCTTCAGCCTTCTTCTTAATCAGCTCTTCTGCCTCCTTCTTCCTTATTCTCTTCTATCTTTTCTTCATCACTCTCTTCTATCTTCTTCTTCCTCGATAGACAGAACAGAGAGACTGAGCGGAGGAGGCCAAAGCTCAGTCCGTTCTTTGCTCTTACTCTGCAACTCATTTTTTTTCTTTTACATCTCCCACCTCCAACACATGGACTCCTCATCCTGTCCCCTCACTCTCTTTCCAGACCTAAACGATCCCATAAGCTTTGCTGGGCCAAGTGCCCCGGCTTTTACTCTTCCCAACCTTCCTATGATATCGATTGAGTAAATAATGGCAGCTTAATCAGATATTGAAGCCAATCATTTCACACTGACGTCCTGTATGGACCACTTTACATTAGGTCCTACATTGGAGGAACAATGGCGGCGGTCACTAACTTGTCTGACCCGACTGCAGGACCAGGACGAACCGGTGAAAGTACACAGGTCAACGCCCAACTCTTCCTACTCTAGCGCATGTACAAAGATGGCGCGAAGTAGAGATTTGTTGCACTGAAGACCTGAGAACCAAGGAGCTGAAACGGCCAGGCCACCTCCATGGCCTGATTTGGAGCGCCCTTCTGACTTCGCCTTTGGA